ACACTCATGTATATAATTTACGTATGTATACTCAACTTTTCGTTTCAGTGGCCTTCAGCTGTACTATTATTGTATTGAGGTCGGTGACCTGTACATGCATATATGGGCATTCGCAAATCGAAATATACGTTCGAGAAGAAATAAACATCCGCGCGTGATGATATTATGTGTAGATGAGCGGGAATGGATATACTAGTACATACTTGAGCTTTACGGTTCAGTGTTTCCGAATACCTACTTCGCCTTCCAACCTGATTTCAGGTGATGGTACATCCGTCCAAATTCACTTTCTGTGAACTGTAGTCGACGTACCGTGCAGGCGACGCGTTTGTTGAGTGTAAAACATTATGAAGAACCCGCTGGGCTGCTCAGGCCCTCGGCATCCTGTGTTTGCCCATAACATTGGTCTTATTAACTCGGCTGTGTGTGTGCATGCGTACGTGTGCTTTAGGTTTTGACGTGATACTGCGCAATGAGCTGCTGGATGGCGCGGGTGTGGTGCCGTTGGGCCACGCCACACACAGTATGTGGCTGGACGACAAAGTGCGGTACATCAAACGACAGCAGTCAGTGCTACAGTACAGTGTAGGTAGGGACGCCCGGAGCAACGGGAGTAATGCGAGCGGATCTACTCTGAGCAACATTGGAATGTCGCCGCTGAGTATGCACAGTCAGTGCTTGCTGGTGTCGCCCCGCAAGACACCGCGCAAGATTGCGAAAGTGCCATTTAAAGTGTTAGACGCACCCGATCTGCAGGTGAGTGTACAGGGGAACGTTATATGCAGGTGGCTGCATGGGGGAACGGTATGTGTGCGCATGCGTCTGTGTGAGGCGTGTGCTCTCATTGATTCGGTTGTCTGAGGGTTAGATTGGATTGGTGTGTATAGGTGTGATGGGTGTCTGTAAGAAGACGCGTGTGATTTACACGGGTATGCATGGGTGTACAAATGTATGTTACAGTGTGTCTGTGAGTAGTATTGAATGCTTGCATGCTTGTATTCATATGTACACTCAGGGCGCCTATACAGATGGTGACGAAATCTGTGGTACTTTTCATCAGGATAGGCTAACGCGTATGTCCACATTCACATGCATACACACAATATTGACGCGTATGTCCACATTCACATGCATACACACAATATTGACGCGTATGTCATATACGCATACATGCAATACGTTAACGCTGTGCTGCCTTTGGTGTGTGGCTGGGTGTGCGCAGGATGACTTCTATTTGAATCTGGTGGATTGGTCGCAGCAGAATGTCCTGGTGGTTGCGCTTGGGGCCAGTGCCTATCTTTACTCCGCATGCACGTCACAGGTAGGTAAAGAGCACCCGCATAGCAACGCATGGCAACGCATAGCAACGCATAGCAACGCATGGCAAAGCACTCCAGAATGGCGCGTCATGCCTTGGATGGCTGACAATGTAGCTCTACACATATGCATGGATATATCTGTGTACACATGTGCATGGATATTTCTGCGGATATATTAAACACACTTGATTGTTGTGCACAGTATGAGTGCATTAGGTAGTGGTGATTGGTGTTGACATATTTGTTGTTGTTGTTGTTGTTGTTGTTGTTGTTGTTGTTGTTGTTGTTGTTGTTGCAGGTGACTAAGCTGTGTGATCTGACAGGTGATTGGTGTTAACTCATGGCTGGTTGTTGTTGTTGTTGTTGTTGTTGTTGTTGTTGCAGGTGACTAAGCTGTGTGATCTGACTGAAGAAGGGGATGCCATCACTTCAGTCAATTGGATCGGCAAAGGCAATTTGCTCGCAGTGGGGACCAACAAGGGATTCGTCCAGGTAATGTATGGTGTTAAAACAAAACCATAAACCCTAAGAAGCCAACAAGGGATTCTCTGTTGTATAGGGTTCATTAGCCACGAATTGAGTTTCATTAGACTCTTAATTGTGGTTTATAAGACACTGATTGTGGTTTATTAGACACTAATTGTGTTTTATTAGATTTTAATTGTGGTTTATTAAACTCTAATTGTGGTTTATTAGACACTGATTGTGGTTTATTGGACACTACTTGCTGGTTGGGCAGCAAGGCTTCAGTTAGACAGTGCTGTCGTTTGACTGAGGGTTCACCCATATTTATATTACTACTTCGTGATGGCATAAGGAGGCTTTCGTTAGTGCTTGTAGCTAAGATGACCATACACTGGGGCTATTTAAGTATCATCACCCGCTTATTCGTATATACACGTGTGTGTGGTTCTCCAGACACTTCATCCTTGTTCGTTTGTATGCGCGTATATGGACTCTTTCTCTGTACCGTTTCGTGCACCTCGGGTGGACTATCAAGGGCCACCAGCTGTCCTCTTGCACTGCCAATTGACTGTGTTACTATCCACAGCCTAGCAGGCCTAAGACTAGCAGGCCTAAAACTAGCAGGTCTAAGACTAGCAGACCTAAATTATTCCGGTTCGTCGTACTCTGAATGAACACTCAAGCTATATTCACACCCACGTGAGAATGCACGCCGAACTCACGCACACAGCCTTACTACACCGTATACAAAACCCTAAACCCCTACATCGTATATAAAAACCCTTAACCCTAAACCCTAAACCCCCAAGGTTCTCATGTGCCGCGTATGCGCTCTGTCCCCATCTACCACAGATATGGGATGTACAGAAGGGCCGGCGCTTGCGGTCACTGACGGGGCATAGCTACCGCGTGGGAGTACTCGCCGCCAAGGGCTCCTACTTGGCCTCAGGAAGCCGAGACAGGAACATCATCATGCGAGACATCCGCGTTAAGGAACACAGCGTAGGCGAGATGCACGGCCACCGCCAAGAAGTGTGTGGCCTTAAATGGGCCTACAACAGACCGTATCTGGCATCGGGTGGCAATGACAATCGTCTGGTGAGTGGTTGAGGCTGATTTAACTAAAAACCCTAGCCACAAGCCATACACACCCCTTGGTCTCTTGAATTACTATATCTACCCCCTTGGTTCTCTTAGTTAACACCCCCCCCCCCCCCTTTTAATTCCCTTAATCCCCATCACCTCAGCTGATTTGGGATGTTAAAACGCTCTCTACGCGGAAGGCGAATGCCAGCAGTACCGCCAATCCTGACGATTACGAGTGGTATGCTTTTTTGTTTTGTTTTTTTGTTTTGCCTTTTTTTTTGTTCTGGTGAGGGTACGCTCACCGAATAGCCTCGTTCTACCAGTAGCGTGCGCGCACACACATAACTTATGAGGCGCAATAGCAACGCATGTCACGCGGTCCCCGTCCGCAGATCTCGATGTGTTATGATTTTGGGTTTTAGCTGGGCAAGATATGACCGGGTCTAGGGTCTAGGGTTTTGAATTTAACTTTGACCGTATTTAATACCCCTCTGAGCTGTATTGTTCCCGTATGTCCCAAATCATTGCACCTGTGCACCAGGTCCAAGCCCTATTCCGAATTCAAGGAGCACGAGGCGGCTGTCAAGGCCATCGCATGGAGTCCGCACCAGGCAGGCCTATTGGCGTCAGGCGGAGGAACAGCCGACAGGTGTATACGCACATGGAATGTCATGACAGAACAACCCCTGCAGGTACACACCGGGCAATGGCTGCGCAGTGGCAGTGTAATTGTGCTAGCGTATGCGTATATATGCACATGTATATTATAATATGAGTATATGTATATG